TTCTTTTACATACTCTATTGATTAAAGATTTGATTGTTAAACCTATTTTGTGGATTTCTGAATTATAGATTAAATGCTAGTAGTAGGCCAGAGGCCTTAGGTTTGTGCTTGTGTTTGTTATAGACCTTATTGATTATTTATGATTTATGATACTAGCTATTGAGTAATCTATTTGTATCTCGAGCTTGGTATTACTGGTATTACCTTGGGTTTGACACTCGAAAGCCCAATTTGAAATGTTTGAAATTATGTTAATGGTGTTAATTATGGGCTTATTTCCTATAACCATATTAGCGGGAATTAAATCCTTTTTAACATGGTTTAATTTGTTCTAATTACCCAAAATATTTATTCAAGAATATTTTTAAAGGATGAATTGAAACCTTTCTATTATGGTAGTGTTATGTAATTGCTTTTTTTTTTTAACCATAGTATGTTTAAATGATTCTTAAAGTGAGCAAATAAATAGTTTTTGGGAGGTGATTTTATAGATAGCCTGCCCATTTTAGATTTTTTGTATTTTATAGTCCAAAATTTGGATGTTACACATATATGATCATGTGTCGTCTTTTTAAAATATTACTTCTCTGGTCCTTAATATAGGACCTAATTGTTGAATAAATTTTAATCCTAAATATAAGACTTATTTCTCATATTTATCAGTTTTTTAAATTATTTTATGGATACTCTCTCAACCATAATAAAGTATAAGAGGGAGAGAGGATATTAAAAAAAATAATTATAGTGTTTTAGAAAGAATACGTCATATTTCTTATAATTAACTAACTTATCTAACTTTCTAATATAATCAAATTAGTTAAATTAGTCTTATATTAAGGACTAGAAGAATATTATTTAATTACAACTCACATGAAACAAGTAGAAAACATGCTATGTATGATTGGAAAAATTGACCCATTGAATAGAGTAACTTAATTTAAGTAGTTTCCAAATAAAATAATTATTATTGGAAAAATTTTTGAAAATTCATTTTATTTAATTAAATATATTAATGGATAAATATGAATATAACTTAAAATCAATATAAATTTAAAATTTAAAATTATAAAAATAAAAATAGCCATTGGTGGCGCATGCCTCACTGAAATAATTGTCCACCCATATATCTCTGCCGCTGCAAAAGCTAGAAGGAGTAGAAGAAAGAAAAGTAAAAAATGAGTATTAGATGCTCAGTAGTGACAAAAACAGCAAAATAATAACTAAAATATATGATGATGAGTACATCCACCTCAAAGACAACAACAATGGGCTTTTTTTGAATAATGTTAGCAAAAGTGACTTTTATCCTAACTAATTGTCATAAATTGAAGTAAAAGTAAAACTTAATTAATGTAATGTGGTTTGTATTTAGGTAATTTTTTATTAAGAAAAGTCAGTTCAGCATAAATTTTATTCCTCCGGTTTTAAATATAAGACATATTTTGTACCGTAATTTACGGTACAAAATGGGTCTTATATTAAGAATCGGAGAGAAATATATTAAAAAAACAGTCTTAAAAGGTTTAAATTTTTTTTTAAAAATTCAAAAGTTAGAAATTAGAAAAAATTATTTCAATTTTAAAGTGAATTTTGGTCAAAAAGTAATTTTTGGGCCCTAAATATAGATGCATCACCAATTGGGTATTCAAACCTAAATTCGTTATATTACGAGGGATTAGTTTTTTCTGTTAAATGTAATTCATATTACTAACTTGTAATACTTTTTTTTTGGTACAATCACAAATTGGTGAGTTCTAATGCTAGCACTTTTTTTTTGCCATGCATAGATGGCAATTCTACTCGAGACACTATGGAATGTTAAATGTAGACACCTTTTTTAGTAAAAATCCTAACTTTAATTTGTCATGTTATAAAGAATTAGTTTTTTCTGTTAGATCTGATAACATTAACACTTTGTAAGTGATGCCAAATTCTATGGTATAGTCTAAATGCAGAATTATTCAGGCCTGTTATTTGATAAGACTGCCCGTTAAATTTGTGAAATTTTGGGTCTAAAATCCTCCAAAACTGGGTTTGAATGGTCCATACTTTTTTGCTCCAAATTCTTTTAAAAAAAAGACCCAAAACAAGGGCCCAAAACAATAATTAAAAGGGCCTCAATCTGATAACTGATTTTGGTCCACGGCCCCACCTGAATGTTATAAAAGATAAAAAAAACCGTATGTAAAAGCAATAATTTTTTGAGAGAATTGCAATGAGGTCCCAAATAAAAAAATAATTAAAAAAAAGTTTCAAATATTGTCATTCTCACCATAAGACTTATGACTATAGGCTGTTGATGTTGTTATTAAAACTTTTTGGTAATTATTTCTCTTCTGTGAAACTTGATTGTAATTCCCTCTTTTTTTTTGGTACCAATTTGAAATGAAATCTATAATCCGTAGAGTAATTGGCAAAAAAGCCTTATTAAAAGTAAAAACTAAGATAAAGACAGTTACAAAATAAGACAAACTGTCCTCCTTCCTTCGTCAAAAATCACACGTGGTTAATTTTCTTTTCTTTTCTTTTTGTGTGTGGCATTTTTGGCTTTTTTCCCACCGAATTCCAAATTGCCCATGGAATTAAGAATCTCTCTCTTTCTTCGTCTTTTTTAGATCCAATAAAAAGTAAGATTCTTTGGAAAGGAAAAGAAGAAGAGAATCCGGAATGAAATTGGTTCCCGACAAAAACCCTAAAGAGAATATTCCATCACTTATTTTGTTTTAGTTTTTAAATATCAGAAAGCTCCTGCAGTAAAATTAATATAATATAGAATCTTCTGACTGTTGTCAGAATCCAGGGCCTTTGTAAAATACTGCCTCCTAAACATCTTTAATATAAGAAATTTTTATTTTAATATAAGATTCTAATTTTTTTTCATATTTATTTTTTTTATAGTTTTTATAATAATATTTCTATTCAATATATTTAATTAGTAAGGATATTTTAAGAAAAGATAATATCTATTTAATTACTAAATAGTACTTCTAATACTTAATATAAGAATTGGTTTGATTCTTATTTTAGTTCTAAATATAACATATTAATTTACTTTATCTCTCGTATTTATCTATTTTTTTCAAGATAATCCTTACAATAGTAATAGTTTTAATCAATACACTTAATTAGTAAGGATATAATAGAAAAGATAACACATATTTATTACAAATAACTAATTTAACTAGTTTTATTAATATATACAAATTAATTAACTAGCTATCATATTAAAGACAAAAAATAATAACTAACATAACTAATTTTTTTAATATACTGAAATTAATTAATTAATTGTGATATTAAGGATTAAATATCATTATAAAAATAAACCATTATAAATTCCGAGTTAGTCCCTTTTTGTAAGCCGCCATAAGCATCCTCACCACTCACCGGTCTCCTCCCAGAGAAGCCGCCATGTGTGGAATACTTGCAGTCTTGGGCTGCATTGACAACTCTCAGGCCAAGCGTTCTCGTATAATCGAATTGTCTAGGAGGTAATTTTTCTTGTACATTTCATTTCTCTGCGTATTTTCATTTCTCGAAACCTGTGCTTATGGTGATTTTCTCTAGCTTGCAAATATTTGCTCTTGATCTACGGCTGCAAGTTACAGAAGGTCTTTTCTGCCATAAGTACATTTAGATGCGTTGTTCTTCTTTTGGAAGGATAGATGTTTTCTTCCTCGTTTTGGCTTGACGACTGAACTCCATTTGCTTCTTAGTTAATATTTTACGATGAGATAGTCGGCTTTCTAAACTGGAGCTTGAAAATGCAGGTTAAGGCATCGGGGTCCTGATTGGAGTGGCTTGCATTGCCATGAAAACTGTTATCTTGCCCATCAACGTCTGGCTATCGTCGATCCTACCTCAGGGGATCAACCTCTATATAATGAAGACAAGAGTGTCGTTGTTACTGTAAGTTTGTTTACCCGATTCTGTTCATTTACTTTTCTTTATTACTTGAAATACATGGCTTTTCTCATTCAGTGCGCGATGCATATGATCCATTTCTCTGACTTTAAGATCCATGGGTATACACCCATGCTATTACTTCAATGAGCCGTTTGGTCTGCTTATACACGAATCCTGTTTACATGCTTATATCATCTGTCTGATCCAATATAAGGTCTGCATTTTGCACATGGGATTTGTTTCTTAATTTTTACATTGAGTTGGTAGTCTCTTTGCCATTTAATAGCCATGTGAATATTTTCACCAAGGGTCATCTTTTTCTGGATGTTAAAGGTTATCGAACACTACGAAGACATGTATTTTTGTTTTGACACCTCAAATCTTCTGTTGTTTTTTCTCTTCCTTCTAATCATTCTTAGGTATTAAACTAGTTCCTGGATCTTTTCTTAGCCTTATCTTTTCCTTTTTGAACCATGTCATTAGGTAAATGGAGAGATATACAACCATAAAGAATTGAAAAAAACTGACTTCTCACCAATTTCGCACTGGAAGCGACTGTGAAGTGATTGCCCACCTTGTAAGTGTTCAACAACTCAGGAAATCAAGTGATCCTCATGTTGTTTTTATATATAATGCTAGAAGATGCTTTATTCAATGCGGCTTTTCTTATATCTTCCCTCCTATTTGCTTGTAACAACTTGTAATCATCTCAGTATGAAGAATATGGTGAAGAATTCGTTGACATGTTGGATGGCATGTTCTCTTTTGTCCTTCTAGACACTAGAGATAAAAGCTTCATTGCAGCTCGTGATGGTATTGGGATTACCCCTCTTTACATGGGCTGGGGTCTCGATGGTATGTGGCTTTACTTTGGTATAGAACGAACTAATGCTCCTGTGACCCTGATCATCAGTATTGTATTGCTGCTTTAGTGACCCTGATCATTAGCATTGTGAGGCCATAAGTCGTAAATTTTATTCATCTCGAATACTACTTTTGGAATAATATCTATTCGCTTAGCCCGAACACTACTTATGGATGGAAAATAACGATTTGCCTAGTTTGACGAAGCTTCATTGTAACTTGGCAAGTTGGTTTATATTTTTTATAATTTGACCAAAGCAGGTGTCTTATATATTGAAGGCTTGATTTATTTTCAGGATCTATATGGTTTGCATCTGAAATGAAAGCTTTGAGTGATGATTGTGAGAGATTTGTATCTTTTCCTCCAGGGCATTTATATTCCAGCAAACAGGGTATTGAAAACCTCATTCTTCTATTCATAAATTATTTTAAACATATTGAGAACCGCTACCTCATCAGCTATACCGATGAGTCTTGTGATTCTCATCCTTTTATTGGTTTCATTTTGATTTGATAGAGATACTTTTTCATTTGTATATCCTTTGAAACTTGATGCCTTTTCAGGAGACCTAAGAAGGTGGTATAATCCCCCTTGGTATTCGGAGAATATTCCTTCGACTCCATACAATCCTCTGGCTTTGCGTGAGGCATTTGAGAAGGTAAGCTACTATGTTCTGTTGTACTGAATTTCGTTAACAAAATGTCTTAGATTGTCTTTTGATTTCGCTGGAATTTTGACAAATCCTACATGCCTTTAGAGTGGCGTGACATTTTACAAGAAACTGAATCCAATAAATTTTTCTGGGCTACTGCTCAAGTGGAAGAGCTTGCGATTTAATTAAGGAAAAACTGAAATGTCATAAAGAATCACTGTCTAAGAAACAATAAATTCCCTCTTAATGAAACTTTATTATGCCCTTTTGAGAAAATATAATTAATATCTACAAAATATTAGAAGGTTTATCCATGAATTTATTATTGGTATCTTCTCATAATAGCACTCAAAACCCCGATATTAGGCCTTTATGGGTGCACCGCTGGGACCAATATGCTAGCTTATCTATTACTGGTATCTGTTGCATGTGATTGTTTGTTAGAATGATGGTGTGCAGCGTGCAGGACAATAATAGTTCTGAAAGTGGTGGCTGTATTTTAAAATTAGATGTGCGGTTTGTGAAGGAGAATAGTCATTTTGGTTCCTTTTGCTAGCGCATGTTCAATGACTTTTCATCTTGGTTTTACTTTTATACCATGCAGGCTGTAGTTAAGAGACTTATGACTGATGTACCATTCGGAGTTCTGTTGTCTGGAGGACTAGATTCATCACTGGTTGCCGCTGTTGCCAACCGTCATTTGGCTGAATCTGAAGCTGCTCATCAGTGGGGATCACAGCTACATACCTTTTCTGTTGGTCTAGAGGTTTGAATACTTTACTCATGCTTGTTGAAAATGAGTGGTTTCTTGTTATATTTTCCGCCAACTAATATGCTTGGAGTTTTAACTTGTCTGATATTCAGGGCTCGCCAGATTTGAAAGCTGCCAGAGAGGTAGCCGATTATATTGGTACCCGTCACCATGAATTTCATTTCACCGTTCAGGTGGTGACTGTCTTCGTCACTCTCTCTCTCTCTCTCTCTCTCTCTCTCTCTCTCTCTCTGTGCTTTCCCAGTGTAACGAAAAAAACATCTTTTTTGAATTTTGTCCTTTTGACAATAAGCATTTCTTTTACATGGAGGAGTAAGATATTCTCATGCTATGTCAGGAAGGTATAGATGCGCTTGAAGAAGTCATTCACCATATAGAAACATATGATGTAACGACTATCAGAGCGAGCACTCCTATGTTCCTTATGTCTCGAAAAATCAAATCGTTGGGAGTGAAAATGGTTCTTTCTGGGGAAGGTTCAGATGAAATATTTGGAGGTTACCTGTACTTCCACAAGGCACCTAACAAGGAAGAATTTCACCAAGAAACATGTCGAAAAGTAAAGACATTATCTCCTCTTTTTATTTAGGAAACAAAATTAGTGCTTACCCAATTACATTCTTCAAGTTTCACACTTCGATGATTTGGATTTTGATGGCTTTGATGATTTGATAGATTAAAGCACTACATCTTTATGACTGCCTGAGAGCCAATAAATCAACTTCAGCATGGGGTTTAGAGGCTCGTGTACCATTCTTAGATAAAGAATTCATCAACGTAGCCATGAGCATAGATCCAGAGTGGAAAATGGTATTTAAAAGTTTTACATTGTGTTCCTTTGTTCAACCAAAAAAAAATGACGATGTCTTTGTTGTACTGCTTTATTGACGTGAAATTAAACTCAGTGACTTAATCTCTTCAATCATGTTATGAAATTTGTATCTCATTACACAGATAAGGACTGATATTGGAAGGATAGAGAAGTGGATCCTACGCAATGCATTTGATGATGATCAGAAGCCATATCTACCTAAGGTTAGTATCCATCGCTGCTGCATGCTAATCTATTTTGCTTGTCTACTTAAACTCGTGGTGTTAGCTGTTAAAGTGTCTCGTTTTATTTAAAAGTCTTTGCCTCTGTGTTATATGGACTTGTGTATCTTCGTCTTGAATTTCTGATCCCCCCCCCCCCTGTTGTGGTCATTTCAGCACATATTGTATAGGCAGAAGGAACAGTTCAGTGACGGTGTTGGGTACAGCTGGATTGATGGCTTGAAGGAGCATGCCAACAACCTAGTATGTGTTTGGCTTAGGAAACTTTCTTGAGGTTCATTTTCTGATTTGCTGCTCGTTAGTAAACTTTCTTGGCTATTTAATTCTAAACCTTTGTTCTCTTTTCATAATTGATCAGGTCACAGATGCAATGTTAATGAATGCAAGTTTTATTTATCCAGAAAACACTCCTACCACGAAAGAAGCATACTTCTACAGAACAATTTTTGAGAAGTTCTTCCCTAAGGTGGACATGATTTTTTTTTTTTTTTGGGTAGATTTACCCAAAGTGCCATTGCTTACAAAATTTATACTCTGTCCAAACATTACCTCATCATCGTGTTCAACCATTGAAACAGAATGCTGCTAGGTCAACAGTTCCCGGAGGCCCTAGTGTGGCATGCAGTACCGCAAAAGCTGTGGAATGGGACGCAGCGTGGTCAAAAAATCCTGACCCTTCTGGTCGGGCTGCACTTGGCGTTCATGAGGCAGCATACGAGGAAGCAAAAGTTGCCAAACCGATCAATGGCGCCCACTAAACTGCTTTTAGTGGACGTTGAGTTCTGTATATTTATTGGTTAATGAAAGTAGAGGAGACGTGTTGTTTCTAAATTACATTTGAGAACTCTACTTTGTAATAGGCATAAAGTTTATTTCTCTGAAGCATCTCTGTAATGTGGTCCCACTTGTGTTGGTGGTTGTTTTTCCTCAATCTAATGAACCGACCATCCACTGGTGTATAATAAATACGGAAATTCAGTCCTACGAAGTAATCTTATATTTACAGCTTGAGTACATATTTACACATTATACAATGCTGTATTGATAACGTAGTTGGGTGATAAAATTTGTCCTGTTATCTGTCAAAATAGCCTCCCTTACAACGTATAGATTGTCAGGATTCTGAATCAGCATGATATATATACAGAAGCTGCAAGGCATTAAATGTTGGCTCAGATGTATATCTAGGTTAACACCATCGACAGATTCCAGGTGCCTCGGCTCTGCTCAATGCTAAAACTTCTTCATACTTGGAACCATATACAAAGCCCCACAGCTGCATGGATGAAGAAGTACTCAATAATATTCTATTTGAGCAAATGTTTAATTGAAGTGTGCCTCTACTTGACATGATCTCAGATAATAAAGATAGAAAGATGAGTGGATAGTGGTCAATGATTTAGACCTTGATATAACCCCAAAGAAAACAAAGTGCGACTGTGTGTGTGTGTGTGTGAGAGAGAGAGAGAGAGAGATTTTTTAAGTGCCTCTACCTCTACTTCCTTAACTTCAAAGTCCTGAGAATGAGCAAGGCAAGGATTGCCATAAGTTTCAGAGACTGAGCTCGACCCGTTCAATCTGAAGTAGATGTAAGAGAAATTAAAGAGTGTGTACGGTAAAAAATTTGACGAAACTAAAAAATTTCATAATGTCAGGCCAGAATTCTTACAGATCACCATCCAAATAGAGGGCAAAATGACCTCCCCCGCCAAGGGCTAGAAAGTCAGAGGAGCATAGTGTGAAATAGCGGTTTATCCCTGAAAAAATTGAGGTTACTCTGAGCATAGCTAGTTTGTGGCCAAGAAAAACAGAACATAGTTAGTCCATAGCAACTTAGGAGTCCCAAACCAGGGCATAGCTAAGCTTGTATACAGGTGTCTGTGGTTGTTTATAATGCAGTAGTGTCACATTTATTGCATTTTATGGAAATTGGTTCCATTTCTCCAAACTCAATGTCTCCAAAAAGGAAAACAAAAAACAAAAAAGAAAAACAGCTGATCCAACCTAAAAAACCCATAAATTTGTCAAGGCACCAGGGCAGTCTGATCAACCCTTAAAACCAGCCAACATAAAAATAGACTAAACTGGTCACACTTGCTGGTACGTCCTATTATTTCCTACCTGCCTCACCTTGCCCTGAAATTTATTAAAAAAATACTATGTCCGTCCTAAACATAAGATTCACTTTGTAGTGCAAATTACACTACAGAGTAGATTTTTATATTTAGGACCAAAAATAGTAACATTTATTTTTTTTTTTTTTTTTGCTACATAGTAATATTTATATTCTAATAGAAAATGTTTCAACTCAATCTATTTGTCCATATATTGTCAATACTTTAGTTAGAAAACAGCCCTCTTTAATCTCAAATCTCAATCATACCACTGATAAGTCCCAAACTCCAACCATCAAAAATTGAATTTTACCAAAATCCAGCCCGAACTCTGGTCAAACATCAACTTACCCAATACCAAAAGAGAAAAGAACTCAACACACACGAGACCAAATAGTATATGTTTTATAATACCTCAGTCTAATCTCGAGGTAGAACAACTACCGAAGTGCACCAAGATTCTGAGACCAAATTAATCTCTGGTTTTATTTGCTCGTGAAAGAGTATAATCATATGCTGCCCCGGGGGGGGGGGGAGCCTATCATTTTATAAATCAGGAAGTCAATACCTGTTGGGCGATATATAGTAGGATGGCCAGAGGCGTTTGTGAAGACAAAAGTATTACTTGTTCCCTGTTACAAAATCTAATCTTAGCAATATAAAACAAATGATAATACTAATACAACAGTATAACATAGTCAGTAGGCTAAACAGTCAGATAATGACCTGATATTTTTTGTTTGATGGCTTAAGTGGTGCTTCAACCAAGCCACCAAAAACTGCACCTTTACGATCTCCAACAACCTGGAGACAGTAAGATAATCTTAACGCAAGTGAAGAACTTATCCTTACAATTTAAAGGGCGGTACAATGCAATATCTTAGTTGACATACAAAATAACAAATAGTGTATTAATCTGTACCAAACACTGCATTTCACAGGTCAAATTACAAAAGGTAGAATGACTTTAAATTACAGTACGGACATTTACACCAGAGAGCTTACAAGCACAGGAAGTTAACAAATACGATAAACTACTGCATACTACTCATAACGATGTTCACAAACTATTCAGTGACAGCTAAACAACAATGAAACGTGACTGTTGGAATAGTTGGTAACAATGTAAGGTTCAACTCAGATAAATATCCACCCGAAGTGATCAAGATCAAGAATGGGAAATGACATATAAATTGTGGTATATGATAAAATCAACATAAAACAACATGAGATATTATCAAAAGCAAAAAATCAGATATCAAGATAATTATGACATCAAATATCATGACTTCTTTATATTTATCACTTAAGCTGTGAAGTAAGAGAACTCTACTTAAGTGAACAGAGATTACATAGTATATTCCTGTTCCACAATGACCACAGTAAAGAAAGCCTCAAAACAGGAACTCATCATTTTATCCATTAATTAGCCCATCAACTGTAAAAATAAAATATCAAAATAATTATGGTACAAAAATATTACACATTTATATTTGTCACCCATTGTCAAGAAAGAGAACTCTATTTAAGTAATCAGAAACTTCTAAGTCTACTTTTTCTTATTTGATTCATCATTTTATTCGTAATTAATTTGATTTTTTTTATTTATTCTATATATTCTTCTATTTTATTCTAATATTTATTGTATTTTATTCTATTATTCGTATTCGATTTTTATTATTATTTTGATTTTCCATTTTTGTGATTTCTTTTTTTTATTTCTTATTGATATTCTTAATTTTTTTCAATATTAATTTAATTAATTAATATTTTTATATTAATTAAATATTAAATTAATTCATTTTTGGCAAACAGAAACTGCTAAGTTAGCATGTCCTGCAAGAATCTCAACAGGCAACGCTTCTAAAACCAAGCTTGTCCTCGAATCAAATCTGCAACTAATGGATGCTGGCGTGAAGGTATGGTAGTGAATGACAGTTCAAATGTTTAAATAATTCCAACAAATAACATTTGCATATGAGGCAAGAATTGACTACGATGCAGGACTTCTGTTTGATGCTCAATTAGTGGATATAACCCAGTCTAAGTAAATATCGCACTGTCCACTCAGAACGTGTGTTTCATTTCTAAAGTTAAGCAAAATTAACTAGTACTCAGGGTTTATATTGCTCAAGCCTCAAGGGCAACTAAACCGTACCAGCAAACTTAAGCCAGGCCAAAGCATGCTTCTCCTGTACAGTGTCAAAAGCGACATCCCATGCCTCTGTGTACTGCAGGAAATGACGAACGGTGATAAAAAGGCTTCGTAAACATTACTTTTTGATATAAAGGTTGCTGAAATTAAGCATAGAAAGAGTTTCATATGCGCCAAATAAATTTTGCATCCTTATATACCTGTATAGTAGCATCCATTTCCTCCCATGAATAAGAGCAGGAAGAGAAGCATAAAGAATATTTCTCATTTTCTCTGAAAGGAGCGCTGAAGGTTCAGAAGCTTCTGGTAGATCAATCAAAGATGTATGTTCCTCCTCAGGCTTAATATGCCTCATCTCAACACCAGATAATCCGGAACCATGCCCATCATCCAATTTCATTTCAGTCTCATCCTTCCGCTCTTGAGAGCGGAATCCTGTGATTCTTGCAGCTTGGTTGATAGCTCTACCAACAGATTGCTTACCCCTGGAAAACAAACTTCTCTTTCCAGTATTTTCCTTCATAGCTGAGTCTGATGGCGGCATATCAGTTCGACTTCTAGTGTCATTTTGCCCATCTGGGTTTACATTATCTCTAGAATCTGAAGAAGACAAGAACGAGTAGAGGAATGCAGAGAAGGATGAAGTATCAGGCCCATCAGTTAATTTCTCGCCACCATCTCGATTAGTTGACTCCGAATCAGACACATTTGATATATCCCCTCCTTCCTAAGGAAAAAATAGCCAGACGAATTTTAGCAGGAGATACTTCTTAATTACAGTTTAGAATTAACCTTCCGGATACAACTAAAAAATACATACTTGAAGAAAGAGAAACGTAAGGATACAGCCTATAGAAAAAATTGTATTGCAAGATGTACAAAGCTAATTAAAGGGCTAATTGACAAACGGAATCGATATGCCTTATCTATAACTCAATATAGGGTAAGGCGGAAAAGACGAAAGCCAAGGAAAAGCAACTTCCATTACCAATATAGGCCGTATACGCCATCTAAATTTCCATAATCACAAACATGTAACAAAAAGATCAAATGAAACAGAAAGGAGTGAGGAAATTACACTATGCAAAAAGGTCGTAGAAAATGACTAATTTGGATAAAAGACTAATGAATTGATCGGGGAAGAAACAAGGAGATTCTTCAAAATAAATGGGATAAGAATTAGAGAGAAAATGGAACGCAAGAACTTACAGAAGGAGGAGGAGGGGCTTTAGAGGGTTTGTCAGAGATCGGATTGAGTAGGACAGTGGTGAGATCCGATACAAAGTGAGCTGTTTTGCTTCGCAGAGATTGCTTTCGTCCCATTTCTACATACAGAAGATGCTATGAGTTTCTACTCAGAATCTTCTATCGCAAGCACACCGTCTTTGGACAAAAATTCTTATGTTTTTATCTTCCATTTCTGCTGCCTTGATGCATTTGATGACAAATTAGAAATGTCTCCCCCGCTTACCATTCTTTGTACTATCTACTTCGCCTATGTGAGAGAGAGGATTGTTGAAGTTGTGACCCGGTCCCCAGCTTCGATCAGGACTTGCAGCTGCGAATAGTCGGTTCGGTTTGTCAGCCGGATTAAGTGGGTTGTCTGATTCGCCCAGTGAACTCAGAATTTTCGTAAAAAAAAAATTAAGGCCAATTATTCGATATTTTTTATTGTAAAGAAAAGCTTCAAGAAACTTTGCAAAATAATTTCTAGAAAACATTG